TTCTTAATTACATTTATATAAAAATGTTGGACAAAAGCCCAACATTAAGAGTACGATCGAAGCCACCAATAATTTCTAGAAGACAAACTCATTAACTCTGGTAATTGTGCAAATAGTGACCAAAAAGCCAAAAATATGTCAAAGGTTAAAAGTAATGCAAAGAAAGTTGGAATTTATATAAATACCACCAAATTATTATGTATTTACATATCTAATATCTAAACTTTACTCTTACATTTATACCATTAAAGCTTTCATATCACATTAAAAGCATTGTGCTCTTAATATGTATTCTTAACATAATTAATGATTAACCTATTTTTTTTTTCATAAAATTATAATTTATCTATATATCTAACCTTTATAATTTGATATTTACATATGATATTTTTGTGTTGTAATCATGTTATGTTAGATATGGCTCATATACCAGATAAGGTACAGATGATGCAGCGGAACAGAGCGAGCCAGCGGAGCGGAAACATCTGTCCAGTCAGGGAGTTTTGCTAAGTGGGTTAGGGGTGTAGGGGCGAGACCTCCGCAGTACGGTACAGAGGTATTTATTTTATTTTTCATGGGTTTTATCTATATATGTGATGTGTAGTCTTATGGGTGTGCACTGAACTTTTCTGGAATAATGAAATCGCCGCTCTGCTCCCGATGACGTAGGCATAATTTGCCGAACCTCGTAAATCTTTTGTGTTCTTTTTATTTTCTACTAAGATTTTTCGATTCCTACATTACATATTAAAATTTATGTATGAAAATGTATGTTTTAAACAAGTTATCCAATCGGTGTGTAATGAAATATTAAAATTTTGGTATATATGTAAATCCCGAATTTAATATAGAAAATTTTGCCAACACACAACACAATTCTTATGGCTAAAATTTGATATTTACATTTATTACATGTTGGTACTAAAAATCTTTGCATGAAAAAGCTCTATTTCATTTTTTTTAAGTTGATGATAGTGATATGTGTGATGTGATGTCAGATATTTGAATGTTATGTATGCAGATATGAATATCATATTTGTAAATATACAAGAATTATGTAATATGTATGTAAATGCCATTTTTATATAATATTGTAATTATCACGTGCATGAATTTTTTTTTAATAATATTTTAAACATATTGTGGCTTCTCTATTTATATATTTGAGTTGGTTTAGGGCACACTATAACAATCACTATAATATGTTGTTCGGAATAAAACAAAATAGAATAGATGGGTGTGTGATATGATTGCGTATGCGTCTTGGCGAATTATTTGGTTCTTGACGGGTTTGATCGAGTTCCTAATTTAGGGCCCGTTTGGGGCAGCTTATTGGATGCGGTGACAATATGAAAATGGCAGGTGAGTGTTTGAAAAAGTCGTTTGCTCGCCACTGCGTAACCCTGCCGCTCAGACGCGCTTCGGCATTTTTGTTAATAGGATGAGAAGCGGAAAGGGGGTCGCATCCAGCGTCTGTTTCACGCGTTTGGGGGAAGAATTCCTCATGTGCTCTCTGATC